GGGAAGCTAGCTGAGGCTGGCAGGGAAGGGGATAAATCCACCTGATCAGTGATCACTGACTCCCACAGGTAACATTTCCCTTTCTCTTCAGAAAATGGTTCCTTTACACAGAACTAGTTATTTGGAGGAGTCCTGTCATCTTCTAGAACACTGAGTTCAGCAAATCCCCACTTCTGAAAACGAGAAGACAAAGCGCTAAGGCAGAAGCCAGTGCAACCCTAACTGCCTCCTTTGAGAACTGCACCAATATACATGTAACAGACACACTTTGCCTTTGAGCTGTATTGAACAGGAGCTGCCAAAACACACTCTGTAGTCCTGCACTCTGCCTCCTCCATGGAAGGAACATCTCACCTGGAAAATTTAATAGCTCCATCACCTGCAGGCACATGGTGGCACCTGACACTGCACTTTTACTTACCATCATTAAGAACACCCAACCACCCACCGTCTCTCTTGCAGGAAGTGCCTCTACCCCACTAAACCACACCTGCATCCTATTATGCTGAAACCGGGCTCACTGCATCTCTCAAGCTACCTTTGCCTGACCTCTGTGTGTGGGATCAAAGAAAAAGGTGCTTACTCACCTCTAAAAGGATGTGACTTCCTGGATCACATCAGAGCACAATCACAGCTCTAGCAAGCTGCTCCAGCTGATCCCTCCATTACTACATTTACACATAGCTTAGTGAAGGCAGTGAGATAATTCCTGTGGGCAAGGACCATCTGCAGCAGGGCAGAATTAAGGCCATGTGGGCCTGTATCTTAGCTGCTTGTTTCTTGGTTTTCCACAGCTTGCGGGGAGAGACATTCTAGAAGGGCAATTCTGAAATACATCAACATTGCTCTAACAGAGGTTTTTTGTAGTTGACTAAAATCCAGATCCTTATTCTTTGTGGTTAATAAAGATCTTGGCATTAGGAACATGTTATTCCTGGCATCCCAGACAAATTCCAGCATGGATAATCATTTGCAAAGTTCCATACATACCCATGGCACTTTGTTCATAATTACAGTCAGTGTATCTAAATCCCCCCAGCTGTTGCAACTCAGTACATATTCTTACCTGTTTTAAGCTGTAATGTAGTGTTGCTGAATGCTGCTTTGGACAGATAGCCAGCTCTCGGTGGTGGGCTGAGCACTGATAGTTTAAATGCCTTGGGATCCATTTGAATGGGAGGGGCTATATAAATGTGCAGTCATCATCTGCCTTGGCTCCTTGGACAAGAGGCCATGACAAGATCTTCTGAGTGTGTAAAAGGAGAACTTTGTCCCTGTGGACATAGGGATACTCACGGCTCCAGGTGCGGGTTTCCATAGGGATTTGAATGCCATATTTTCTTGCATACAAGAGACCCCGAAATAAGAAATGCTCTTGGAAACAGAGTACCTAAGAAGTGTGGCATCCCAGCAGACAATTTGGGTGAGGTAGCAGGAAATTCCTGATGTGGCAAGACAGCAGCAAGATTAGGTCACTGACCCTTGCAAGGGTACTGGCAAGACTGTTACTTCTTCACTATAAGTAGTTCTTTATATAAGTTTCTATACCACCGTAAGCATCATGAAGATGCTATAGACTGCATTTGGCAGCCCACTGTCTCTGGACCAGCTCAAATACTGCTTCAGGAACAAGCTACAGTGCTCAGCCAATAGCTGCTACATAGGATACTGCCCCTTCTACTTGCTGGGGTCAAAGAGGAGTGCCAGCCATCTCAGCAGTCATTGAATCACAGTGTCTGCTTATTTCTATTCTTCCCTGTTTCTGTTCCAGCAAAGAAAAATCAACTTCCAAACTTCCAAACATACATCTCAATTTTGGAGGGCTGATTTAGGAAAAGGTGCATGTTGTATGCATGTAAATATGGTACCTAACTCCTTTGCATATAAGTAGGGCACCTAACTCCTTTTTGAAATCTTAAGCTCAATATATTCAGCATTCAGCAGAAATATAAAAAAAAGAACATGCCTTCAGTTCAGAGTACAGACCAAGTGGTCTCATCTCTATAAACAAACTGCAACTATCAGTAGAACTGGCTATAGCAAAGTAATGCTTCTCCTTAAATTAAGGCCAATTGACTATACATCCCAGTGGTAACTGAGAAGGCAGAGAGGGATAGTGACAGCAAACCATCACCAAGTAAGGCATTACCTGCTTCCTAACACACCCATACGTACACTAAGCTCGGTCTTTGTATCCCTGCAGGGACAAGGGGAAGAGTATTGTTATCCAGAGGTGAGGTACTTGGGGACATTATTCAAAGAGTCTTCTGGTTCCTGCCATATACCAAGGCTGCTAGTCTCCTGTCTGAACTGTAGACTTAGCCACACTTTGTTTCCTCTCTGCCTTACCTAAACTTTCTATCAGCCCAGCAGATTCTTACTCATTAAGTCTAAAATGCATTAATAATTATGTAAATAAAGAGGCATTTATTGTCCCTCTTCTGCCTGGTTTCACATATAAATTAGCTGTGCACGCAGCATTTTATCCTCTTCAGAAAATTAACTCAGGAGTAGAGCAGCTCGGAGTATGAGTCTGACAGGATTAGGCTGGAACCCAGGCAGGTGAATCATTAGAGGAAGATGGGTGACAAGAACTACATCCACAACAGGAGCCACGTCTGAATTGTCATTGGGATTCTCTTGGCATCAGTAGAAGATCCATCAGGCGAGTAAAAACAAAGGGACCTCAATTCAGAGGCTTCTCTGAAAAATGTTGGTTTGACCTGCTCAAGCCAGAAAGGAAGAGGCAGTAGGTCCTCACCCTGTCTTATTTTAGGACTTCTAAGGCCCTCACTATTGCAGCAGCTGAATGTCACTGAGTTCATTCAGAATGAAAAGCATTCAATACCTTGACAAAACAACCAGGGTCCAAGCCTACTTGTCTAAGATCTAGCTTTTCTATGAACCACATTGCTCCTGGGCTTATAGCAAACCCTCAGTCAGATGCAAAGAAATGAAAGGTTTTGATACAGAGCCTATATATTTTTTTCTGTCCAGGTACCACCTGCACCAGCATTCTGCCTCCACGACCACCAGCAGAGACAAGGTACCAGTAGCAAAGCAAACAAACAAGATTCCCATCTTAGGCTTTCATTCAGCCTTTTAACCCTTACCTACAGCCAGACCCTTGTCTCTCACACAAGGTTTAGATACACAGCACGGTTCCTGGGCACATCTACACAAGGTGTTTACTGTGCAGTTAACTAATTAACTGCACAGTAAATGTCTCAGCGTCTACGTCTGTGTCCCTGTTAAGGTGCAAGAAATGAATCAACTCTGCCAGCTAGCCCTGCACCCTCACGCCCCAGTCAGCCCCTCTGCAGCACGTTGAGCCTGGTTGGCACATAGTTCCACATTGGACGGCTGATCCTCCAGGTTCCCTACCAGCCAGGGCTGCTGTGATCTGACTCAATGTGCTGTGGTCTGTACGCCCAGGAGCTTTCATAGATTTCATAGACATTAAGGACTGGAAGGGACCTTGCAAGATCACCGAGTCCAGCTCTCCTGCCATAGGCAGGAAATCTGCTGAGGTCAAATGATCCCAGCAAGATATGCATCGAAACGCTTTTTGAACAAGTCAAGTAGGTGCTTGGCACCACCTCTCAAGGGAGTCTGTTCCAGACCCTGGACACTCAAACTGTAAAGAAGTTTTTCCTTATGTCCAGTCTAAATTGGCCTTCCAGAAGTTTGTGGCCATTAGACCTACTTATCCCTTGGGGAGTCCTGGTGAACAACTGTTCTCCCAGATCCTGGTGCACCCCCCTTATATACTTACAGGCTGCCACCAAGTCCCCCTGGAGCCTTCTCTTCTCCAGACTGAAGAGTCCCATGTTCCTCAGCCTCTCCTTGTAAGGCTTGCTCTTTTGGCCTTTGATCATGTGGGTGGCTTTCCTTTGGACTCTCCCAAGCTTATCCACATCCCTCCTGAATTATGGAGCCCAGAACTGGATATAGTACTTCAGCTGTGGCCTCACCGAGGCTGAGTAGAGTGGAAGGATGACATCCCTGGTTTTGCTTGAGATGCATGGGTGGACGCATACCAAAGTTTGGTTTTCTTTGCTGGCTACGGCATCACATTGGTGGCTCATGTTCATCTTGTGGTCAATCAAGACCCCCAAGTCTCTTTCAGTTGTGGTGCTAGTGAGCGTAGTGCTGCTGAGCCTATAAGTATGATGCTGGTTTTTCCTCCCAAAGTGGAGCACCCTGCACTTCCCTATGTTAAGTGCCATCAGGTTTTGGTCCACCCACCTTGTAAGCCTGTCCAGGTTGGCCTGTATCCCCAGCCTATCCTCCAGTGTGACGGCCTTCCCCCATAGTTTAGTGTCGCCTGTGAATTTTGCCAGTCCGCATCTGATGTCCAAATCCAGTTAATTTATGAATATATTAAAGAGTACTACCCCAAGTACTGAGCCCTGAGGGACATAACTGGTCACCTTGCAACAAGCTGATTTGCTCCCATCAACTAATACTCTTTGGGTCCAACCCCGGAGCCAGCTCCCCAGCCAATGGACCGTGAAATGGTCGAGGCCACAGTTCTCCAGCTTAGCCATGAGGACATCATGGGAGAACAAGCTTCTGGGAACAATAAAATGTGGAGCAATAAGTTCCACAGTGTATTGCAGCACATTAATGGCATGTCTAGACGTGCCCACTATGGAGTAATCTACCCTAGATTTTACTCTATAATATATGTATTGGTGAAGTGAACACACAACGGACCATCCCAAACTAGCACTACTACAGTCTCTGTCCACTAGGTGGCAGGCGCACCAATTTAGCCCTTTCCTCAGTGTATCTGGGTGATGATGCATGGGAGGAGACGCATGACTTGTTCCACATAGTAAAATTACTAAACATTTTCAAAGGGGAAGATTCACCCTGGACTCAAGTGATCTTCTCTGTGGCTGCTTTCCTTTTGCCTCCCTTGCGGCAAAAATTGGATGCAAAGAAGGGTCACTTGAAACCCTCTGGGTCAAGATACAGGGAGAGCACAAGGAAAGGGACTTGATCGTAGGAGTTTATTACAGACCTCTAAACCAAGAGGAACAGCTCAGCCAAGCATTCTCTAGAGAACTGGCAGAGCTGCATGCTCATGGACCATGGTCATAATGGGTAACTTCAATTACCCAGACATCTTGTGGGATTAGCACTCAGCTAGATCCAATCACTCACAAAGCTTCCTCACTTGCATCAGGGAGCTCTATCTAACTCAGGAAGTCTATGAGCCAACTAGGGGCAAGGCACTCCTGGACTTGGTTCTGGCCAAAGGGGATGATCTAGTGAGCAACCTGCGGATTGAAGGGAAACTGGGCAACAGCGACCATGAGATGACCACTTTCTCCAACTGCTGCAAGCCAGGGAAATCAGCCAGTAGGGTAGAAATACCTGATTTTAGGAAAGCTGATTTCCACAAACTCAGGAGATTGGTTGGCAAGGCCCTACAGGACCATGGTCTGATCAGGAAGGGAATACAAGAAGAGTGATCTTTCTTCAAGGAAGTACTCCTAAAAAATCAAAGAAAGTCTATTCCCTCTCACAAGAAAGGCAGCAAAAGAGCTGAGAGAGTCCCTTGGCTCAACAGGGAAGTCATGGACCTCCTGAAATTAAAGCAAGAAGCCTACAAGGAATGGAAGTCAGGAACAACTACTCAAGAAAAGTATTCAGCAACAGCCCCCACCTGTAGGGAGCAGATCAGGACAGAGAAAGCACTAACCAAACATAAATTGGCAACCAGAATCAAGGACAACAAAAAGTCCTTCTTTAGATACATAGAAAGTTACAAAAAGAACAAGGGATGCATAGGGCCCCAGATAAATGAAATGGGACAGCTGTTAACCAACACCCGGGACAAAACTGAACTCCTGAATGAATACTTCATGTTGGTATTCCACCAGTTCTGGGGTATTAGCCTGCTTGACAGGATACAGGATGACCATGGTGGGGTGACCACCCTCCCATAGTTGATGTAGATCTTGTGGGGGAGCACCTACGAGGCTAAATATCTATAGGTCAGCAGGACCGGACAAACTACACCCGAGAGTGTGTCATCAAAGAACTGGCCGATGTCATCTCACAACAGATGGCAAAGTTATTTGAAGACTCGTGGCACTCAGGAGAGGTCCCAGAAGACTGGCAAAAGGCAATGTGGTACCTATCTTCAAGAAAGGGAGAAGGGACAACCCAGGAAACTACAGGCCAATCAGTTTGACCTCAATCTCAGGTAAAATGCTGGAGAAAATCATCAAAGAAACCGTCACACAGCAGCTAACTGAAGGCAGTATTCTGAAGGGTAGCCAACATGGCTTCGTCACAGGCAGGTCATGCCAGACCAACTTTATTTCCTTCTATGATCAGGTTACTTGCCACCTGGATAGAGGAAATGAGGTTGATGTCATATACTTGGACTTCAAAAAGGACTTTGACCTAGTCTCACACAATGTCCTCATTGTCAAATTGGGAAAATGCGGCCTCGACTACTTCATGATCCAGTGGCTAGGTAATTGGCTCTGTGGTAGGACCCAAAGAGTACTGATTGATGGAACTGAGTCATAATGGTGGAGGGTGACTATGGCGTCCCTCAGGGGAAGACCAGTGCTCTTCAATGTATTAATTAACGATTTGGATTCAGGTATTACAAGCAATCTGGCAATGTTCAATGACAACACCAAGCTATGGGGAAGTGTTGTCACTCTCAGAGTCAGGCTGGTGATACAGGCCAACCTGGACAGGCTCGTGAAGTGGGCAGACCTCAACCTAATGTCGTTTAATACAGAGAAATGTAAAGTGCTCCATCTGGAGAGAAATAACCCACAACACACTTACAGGCTTGGCAGTGTTCTGCTTGCTGGCACCACAGCTGAACGAGACCTGGGTGTCATGATTGGCAACAAAATGAACATGAGCCACCAGTGCAACGTCATAGCTGGTAGAGCTAACCAAACAATGGCCTGCATCCACCGAGGCATCTCAAGCAAGGCAAAGGATGTCATCCTCCCACTTTACTCAGACTTGGTGAGACTGCAACTGGAGTACTGCATCCAGTTCTGGGCACCTGTAATCTCCCATACCTTTCTTGTGGGCATTGAGTATGGGGGTTCCTTTCTGACCTCGCCATTGCTTTTGGGAGGAAACAGTTCTATTAGTAGGGTGACTTTGAGCCAGTCCCCCAGGGCATCTCACCTGCCACGTATTTAATGAGAAATAATTTTAATTGGAAGGAAGCTGTTCAGTCCTGTTTCCCCTTGCCACCTCCCTTTGGTCATCCCTGCTTTCCTCCTGTTTGAGGCTCCACCTCCCCTACACCCTGCCTAACGCCAACCAAGATGTCATCACCTGTATTGTTGGAGTTGGTATCCCGTATACTTTTGGAGCTCTGGCTCCAGAATTTATGGCCATAGGATAGGGATGGTGTTCTTAGCTTGAGTGCTTCCTACTGCCCCCTTTTCTTTCATTTGTACATTGTCCTGATTTGGTACTGTTCTGTCCTCCAGCTTGTCACTCTTTTCCCAGACTTGGTACTTGCTGTAAATCAGGCAGGTCTGGATTCTTGTCCTGCTTGGTCCTGCTGGGCTCCAGTCTCCACTTCAGATGTCTGTTGTCCACGGTGACTCTATAAGTCAATCTTCGGGCACTCTCTGGCCCTGAGCGCTTGGTGGGACCCCTTCCTGGCATAGCCACCAGGTCCCCTTGCTGGGACTGAATTCTCTGGCCCCTCTAGGTCGGTTGGAGACCTCACTTCTGGTCCCCCCCACTCGTCTTCCACCGGGTCTTTTATTCCAGCTTCAGGGGTCTGGCCAACCAGTCGGTCCCAGCATGCTGTTATAAAGCATGCCCAAGCCAGTGAAGGAGCCAGTCCCAGCTCCTTCAGGGTCGGCTGTTTTTTTTCTCTCTTTTTTTTTTCCCACGGTGGCTCTGCCCACCACGATTTCACTTTTGCTGTGTTCGGCTTCTGGTGCAGTGTCTTGTCCAGCAGAGGTAAGTCTTTTCCACAGCACTGCACTTCAAGAAGGATGTGGCGAAGCTCAAGAGAGTCCAGAGGAAAGCCATGTACATGATTAGAGGCCTAGAGACCAAGATGTATGAGGAGAGGCTGAGGGACTTGGGACTGTTCAGCCTGGAGAAGAGAAGACTCAGGGGGAACTTGGTTGCAGCCTAAAAATACATCAGGGTTTAGGGGAACATCTATTCACCAAGGTCCCCCAGGGGAGGGCAAGAAATAATGGGCACAAGTTGACTGAAGATCACTTCAGGCTAGTCATCCACCCTGGTGATCTTCAAAAAAGTCTTGATGCCCATCTTGCGGGGATCATTTGATTCCAGCAGTCTTTTCTGCCCACGTGCATGGGGATTGGACCCGATGATCTGTAAGGTACCTTCCAGCCCCTAGCAACTATGAAGTTATGAAACTTTTGTTACATAACAAACAACTTATGTCCACACTCCCAGTGTCTAGCTAAGAAGTCCCCTCCAGCCTTGCCCTGAAGGTTCTCAAGTACTACAGATAGCTGTGTGCAAACAGACTCAGCTCAGTCTGTGGCTCCTTAGGGGCTCTATGTTTCAGTATCAAGTGCTGCTAAGGAATAATTTGCATGTCAGCTTTGTGCAAGGGCCATCCCAATCTTCTCTGCATCATTTCAGTTTTAGTATATGTATCACTGGAGCATCAAGTCTTGCCAATGGATAACCTGCCTGTGAAAGCTATTTAGTTGAAGTTGCCAACCAGATAAACTTTATGGACCTGTGCCTGCTCCCACTTTAATCAGCAGCAAAACTCCCACTGGCATCAGTGGGAGCTGAAGAACCTAGGTCTTGTCAAATGTGTAACATGCAAGTCTGTCTGAATATTTCCTTTTGGCTGTCTATTAGTGCCTTGATTTCAGACCTACCAGGTAATATGTTTCAGGGATCTCACACTGTTCCTTCCCAACTGGCACCCTGCCAGCCTAGATTCAAGAGATGTGGGGCAGGATCTAACTGTGTAGGACTGTGATGGGTATATAAAATCCACACCATCCATGAATGGCTTCATTAACTAGAGCCTGAGCATTCCACTATCCTCCTCTCAGTACACCTGGGCAGGAGGTGGAGTGGGAAACAGACCTCAAGCAGATTTAAGAGAAATAGCTTAAGCCAGGGAAAGGAGACACACAGGAAGAGTGTTTGTGTGTCTCCTTTCCCTGTGTCTCTCTACTTCCTAGACTACTTAAAGGGAACAAGGATCATATTTCTTCTTGGAAAGGGCAGGGTGGTAAGACCCAGAAATATGCTGTCAAGCTGTAGTAGGTGTGATTAACTCAGGGAATGGGCCTTTGAGGAGAAGTGAAACTTGAGGGAGGCAGCTCTGCAAGTTATTGTTCTGAAATGAGGATAAGAGGACCTGGGTGACAGTAAAAAAAACCCAGACAAACAAACCCAGGAGAGGCGATGCCGTTCAGTTGGAAGATCATTTGATCTGGGAGCTCCATTAAGGCTACCACAGACACAACCCTGAAGGTCACTGCGCTAGAGAGAATGTGGGACTGAAGTCAAGTCCAGAGGGAGGGGTGAGGGAAGAAGGATGTGCATGGATTAGATTTACACTGAACACTGCTTGCATTAAGACTTTAGCACTGTGGAAGGGGTGGGACTGGCAGGTGATATTGCTGGACAAAAAAAAGAAAAAAACAGGCAGACAGCCAGGCAGTCTCATGACTGGGAGAGACAGTGACACTTGGGCTAGGGACAGACATTACACATAAACTGGTTTAAATTATCAGAAACTGGTTTAAACCTGTAACAGAATAGATGTTCAGTGCACATAAACCAGTCTGAAAATGGCTGAAATTGGTTTGAGATAAACCTGGTTGAATGCAGTATCAGACTTAACTGATTTGGGTCAAAGTGGTTTATGCAATGTCTATCCTAGACCCCTTGCTGGTTTAAGATGAACCAGACACTCCCAGCATCCCAGCATACTCTCTGGGCTGGGCAGGGCTCTCTGCTCCACAGCAGGGCTGGCCCCTCCCCTCTCCTCCCTGGCCAGAGCTCTGGCAGAGACTTGCAGGCACAGAGCAACTGCCTCACTTCTCTCTGATAAGTAGGGATTGTTCCCTCTTCCCCTCTGCCTTACACAGACACCTCAGCATTAGCTAGCAGACCACATGCTGGCTATGGTCCCTGC